CTAGAATTTTTAAAGTTACTTTTTCTGTTTGATTGCTGTTTTTTTCTTTCCCTACTTACCTGTTACTTTCAACCACTTCCTTTTTTTTTAACTAAACTCCGGCTCAGGCCTTGCAGAATTTGGGACTCTGCCATATTCTTTCCATTTATTTAAAACGATTAGATCATGAAAATAAAGAGTGGTGTGCTGAGCTACAGGAACTGCATTACCAAGCAGCATGGAGGGGCATGCAGTGGGACCACTGTGTTTCTGTCAGGTAAGAAGAATTCAGATTTTTTTTATCACCCTTTCACTGGTTATGGACAATAAACTGTTTTTTTTTATCTTGCTCTATTAACGTGGTGGGAGTTGTGTTTTTATGTTTTGTAGGTGCTATAAACTCTGGATATGCCTAAATCTTAAATAAGATAGCAGTAAGCTGTCAGCGTGCCTAGTCTTGAACTTCACTCCCTTCTTCTATTAGGGCGCCTTCACCTCCACCGTCAAGATATTTTTGAAAATAGAAATATAAAATTATTTTCTCATGAGAATCTTCTCATGTACTGTTTATAAATCTAAAGAGAAATACAGGCTTCTCCCTTCCCACTCCCTTCTGCAAACATTTAGTTAGTCAGATGGTACTTTTATTGGCTGGATGGTACACAAAAGACTGTTCATCTTTATTTATGAAATATTTTCTTTTATGAAAAAACACTGCTGAATCACTAGTGCAGGAAGATACCGTTTATTACCTACATGTAAGGTCACCATGTGTTCTGAGTGAAGAGCCAAGCACCTAATTGAATAAAAGATTGTGTATTTATGTAGAAATTCTTCTGATGATGTAAAAAATTAAATCATATTAATTGTATGTATAATCACTTTCATAGGAGAAAATTTTCATAAGTTAGATTGTCTTTCAGATTTCAAACTGTTAGGCTGTGGTAAAATTAGAGATAGGCTGTCCTATTTTAAAAACATTTTACTCTGCAAGCTGATTCCCACTCTCCCACTGGCGTCTGTAAATCTGTGTGTGCTGCTTTTCCCCTTGCTTACTGTGTTTCAGCCACATAGGCCTTCTCCATGGTTTTCCATCTGGACAAATTGTTTGAACCTGGAAGTCGTAAATGTATCTTCTTTTTTCCCTTGTTAACTTGAAGGTGGCTACTTGTCGTTCAGACTGTAGTTTAATAACGTGACATATTTAGAGAGCCTTTTTTGACCATCCATTCTAAACTAGTCACCCAGTCATCCTGTTTTGTTACCCTGTTCTACTTTTCTGCATGCCCTTGGTCACTATCTGATATTTTTCTTATTTATTGTCCATCTTCTCCAAACCAGAACATAAGCTCCATGAGAATGGGACCTGATCTGACTTGCCCACTAATGGATTCCCTGTGTCTAGAACCTGGTGCCTAGTGTTCGGCACATAGTAGGTGTTCATCAAATAAATAAATAAATGAGAATATAGCATATTTAGATTCAGGAAAAGTAT